AAGATTTATGCGCCGTTGGACGCCAATATAACAAAAATTCTTTGGGCTGTTGGACGCCAATGTAACACAATCGTGTAGGATAGTGGAAAGGATAACGTATAATTTAAGCTAACTAGCAGAAAGTGCCGGAGAGTGACTGCTTGACACTCAAAGGAGAATTCGGCCAATTTGCATGCCCTACAGAGACCATAGAATTAGAGAATGAATGAAAAGTTAATAAAAAAATCTATAGGTATATATCTAAGATAAATAAAAATGATTATAGAAGTTGCTCCAAAATGTGAGTGGGCGCCAGGAAAGAATTTGCCTAAACTTTCCAAGGTATCTTGTAAAGCTATTTGCTAAAATAAAAAAAAAGATATAGGTATGAACTGAAATATTTAGTTTTCACCAAATCTTTAATCCCTAGCCAAATATATACAATCTAAATTTAATATACCCACCACCAATTATGTACAGCTAATCTAGTTATATACAAAAAATAAATGCCCTGGTTATACAACTGATCCTGGATGATCTAAATTTACAAATAAAAAAATATGGAAAAAAATGGTAATAATTAACCTAAAAAGGTAATTTATTTGCCCCAGAGATGCAACTTTGTATTCTGGCTTTATTGAATATAATAGTAACAAGTAATAAGGACACTATCTTGACGAGATAAGTGTCCAAACGTTTAAATATATAATAATAATTAAATCTAAAAAAAACTCTCTGATTAAATGTGTACACAAAAAATCGTACAACCGAGTTACAAGGGACGATTTAAAACCTCAACCTGAACGTAAAAAAAATTAATGCTTATGTAATTTATAGTTATTTAGAAAAAATGACAAGTCTTTATTATTAAGTGAAATATTAAAATTTATGATCGAAAGAAAAAATATTATGAACAAAAAATTGTTTAAAATCCTTTATAAAAGGTATATAAAATTGCCCCAAACGGGCTATCACAAACATATTGGAAAACGTTTTCGGATTAATCAATCCCTCATCAGTGCAAACGGTCCTTTTATAAAGGATTTTAAACAATTTTTTGTGATATATGTAGGGTGACCATAATTTTTCAACAAAAAAAAAGTACATTTATAATTTTTAAGAAAATATGTACACTGTTAGTGCCCTAGGACATTTTTCTGGTAAAAATTTTACGAATATTTAATTAAACAATGATAAGAACGATTTTTTTTTAATCAAACATAAGTACATAAAAAATGTATGATACATTTTAATAGTTAATTTTCTTTCGACGTTCCTTCCTGAACATCTTGATCATCATTTTGGTACCAGTCGTACTTTTTGGAACTATGAATTTCCTTCAGAAGTTGTGGTTTACTCTTTAAGAACTGAAACATTTCATTGCACGAAACTTTGAAGTTTGTGTAGACTTGCATGATGGCTTTCAGAGTAGATGTTTTCAACTGCAATTTGTTGGGACACCAATAGTTATTGATATTGGAGAACAACCGCTCCATCGACGCACTGGTCCCAGGCAGACAAAAAACAAACTCACATAGAATTTTGAGATTTTTCAAAGCACTTTCTTTTTGGAAGATTTCGAGCCATCGATCTTTGGTAGAAATGTTTTTCGAATTCCAGTCTGCGATTTTATCTTCTGTAACGTAGGTTCGTATTAGACTAACTTTATCAAACAGTTCGTCCTGATTCAATATCGGACCTATGTAGTCTTTGAAAGCCTCACACGACGATCAAATTTCAGCCCAAGAAACTTGTTTTTTTCAAGTTAACCCATCCGAATAGCTTTAGTTCACTTAAATTTTCACTCCAGTTTTTCAAATATGTTACACAATTTGAATAGAACTGCTTGACATGCGTGATAAAGATATCCCGATAGTTCACACTAAGGTTAAGGTCTTCCATATTTTCAAGTTTTGAAAGTGACTCTCTTACTTTAAGCGGTAAAAATAATTCATTTAAGCGATTTTGAAACTTATTTATAAGTTCGAAATAATCCAAAGCGGCTTCCGTTGCGCATATTTTGTCATCTTCTACATCTAAAATCACTTTGTGGAAGAGAGACGCAATGTTATGCACAAACCACATCCATGCTTCACTGATTGGGTTTTGAAAAAACTGTTTTAGAACTGTTGGACAATTATCAATCGATAATAAATATGCTTTCAAGGGTTCGAACATTTGTATAATTCGTTCAATGGCTGGCATTAGGCTCAAAAATCTTGTTCTTGAAAGCGACAACATTTTTTGTACTCGATATCAACAAAATCGCAAAACTGTTTTAGTTTCTCCACTCTGACTGTAAAAATATAGAAATGCTTAAAAATCTTGACCGCAATAACCTCGAAGTCTATGGGTAAGAGTTCCGTCAAATTTTGTAAACAGTTATTAAAAATGTGTGCCACTCAACCAATTCCAATCACGGGTTTACCACGAGAAGCATTTAATTTGCTGAATAGATGGTTCACTCCTTTTCTTCTCATTCCACCAAAATTTGTATTTGTATTATCAGCAGACATTCCGATGCATTTTTGTAGTAGATTATGGTGATTCAAAACATTGACCACGTAATCTTTTAACTGCTCTGATGTTTCACCAGGTAAGTCACGTAGCTGAAGTAATTTTACTTGTACACCATTTTCTCCATCAAAATATCTTACCATTAAGGGCACAACTTTAATTTCTCTATGATTCGACGAATCGATTGTGATAGGTACTGACGAAATTTGCTTTTCGAAGGTCAATTTCTAATTGGGACTGAGCCTCTTGAGCTAAAACATTTTTTACAATCGCCTCAGTCTTGGTTCGAGCTGCCGCAAATTTAGGTTCAAACATGCTTACAATTAGTTTTGACGTGCAGTCTAAGGAACTGAAACTTTGCAAATGCTTAATTGTATGGTAAAAAGTACCTTCCTTAGCAGCAATCAACATATTTTAAAACTTAAATTTTCTTTTTAACAAAGGTTTCCAATTTCCTGCTCTTCGAGTTCGCATTAGCAGCCAACATGTGTTTTTTCTTTGACAAATGTTGTTTGAGATTACTGCGACCACTGTTAGAAATATCTACATCACTTTTACAAACTTGGCAAAACACAATATGCGGTGAAACATTTGATTTTTGTTTTATAAAAGGATACTCTGCTTGCAACTCGACGTTAAAATGGCATTTTCTTTTGTTTATTTTTCCACGCAGCATAAAAAATATAAAAAACGAGAAAAACTGCCGGAATTTAAGACAAAAGGTTAATAGACTAATCAACAGTGAGCGCACAAGTAACAAATAAACATAAACATACGACGAGATATATATTTTTACTAAATAAATAAGATAATAATAAGATCTTGCTAAGAAATGAAATCGCCGATCGATTGGTGCTAAAGATAGGAGATTCTGATTCTTCCGCAAAAGATCGATTCTTGAATCAATTCGAATCATAATTATATTTTGTTTGGACAAAAAGTAGGACCTAATTTTGTGTAATTAAAAAAAAGAGTACATTTAGGTGTACTTCATAAATTTTAAAGTACAATAGGACAGCGTTTGAAAAGAAAGTACTATCCTACTTAAAAAAGTACATATGGTCACCCTAGATATATGGTATACAGCCAGCTATAGGAACTTAATTTCCTCGTGGAATATTATGAAAAAAATTATTAAATTAATGGATAAACAATATAAAGATTAACAAGGTTCCACCCTCTAAATAAGGGAGGTCTTTCGGCTGGTATCCGGAATTGGTCCAAGAGTAGTCGGGAGAGCTCTGGATCCCTGATGGAACAGATGGCAACTGGGCAAAATCAAAACGTAATTTCTTTTCCGTGTGTAGTAATTTAATTCCCCAACTAAATTAAATAAAAGAAAAATCCTTGATTCCGGATTTAACTTCTTGGGGGTAGGCTAAAAAGAACAATTGAGTTACTATTCCTCCTTACACTTGACATAAGATGGGAAAAAATGAGATGGGAAAAAATATGACAAAAATTTACTGGGAAGCTTGTATCAAAGGAAAAAGCTGTAATGATTTTGTAGCTAATGTGACCTTCGCATGGTCTGACACTATTTGATGTAAAATAAATTGATGAAATCGATAATTTTAAGGAAATATTTTTGATACACGGATATATTTTTGAATATAAGGACGGTAAGACAGAATATTTTTACAGGTGGTCTTAATAGATAATAGATAATTTAACGATGGATAATTATATGTTTTTAAGGCTGGGAAATAAAATAGAAACTTGATATGATTTTATAACATTATCATATATAAATCCAGAATGTTTCTTAAGGAAATAATGTGAGAAATGATAGATAGATATTACACTATCAAAGAAAAAGTAACGATATTATAGAAGATAAAATGGCTGATAGTTTTTACACTTTTTATTTATAATTTAAAGAACTTAACGACTAGAGGTGGCTTCTAAATCAACGATTCTACACTATAAAACAACTGAAAAACTCCATACTTTCCTTCCCCAACAAAATTAATATTCTTTAAAACAAATTTAGCCTCGCTCTGTCGCATACGCTTTTTTCCCTGTTAAACAAAGTTGTTTACCAAAAAGTTAAAACCAGAATGAGCTCTAATTATTAGACCGATGGTCATGTTCCTTACAGCGCAGTATGTGGCGTTGTTTAATACCAACTTAAATTTTAAGAATTTAGAAAATCATTAAGAGGATTGGGATTTTAAAATTTATTCAAAAAATGTTTACGAAAAATATTAAAGTAACGTTCTCGTTACAGCTTCTATACTGGCGTTGTATTACTTTTTTCTTTATAAAAAATGCGGAAGAGAGCATCACGAGTGCTTCACGGGTAGTGTCACGAAATAGCGTAGCAGTTCTTCACATCGATTCACTACTCTCCATCAATTATTTTCAACCCAGTCATCATCTATTTATTCTAAGCAGGTTTAAATTAAAAACTGCATTTTTAAACAATATTTAGTTTAGGTTGCGTTAGAAGCACAACCATTACAGTTAATGTAATTTAAATTTGCAATAATCAAAAATTCCAGGAATATCCAGCTCTCAGAAGATACTGCTCCGAAACCATATTTAGATGTGGAGAAAACGCTCTGATTAGAGATATGGTAAGAGAAGCGGGTGGTCTAGATCCTTTAGTCAAGATGGTAAGGGATCCAAAAACAAAGGAAGATAAACCACTATTGGCGGCAGTAACTGGAGCTATCTGGAAACTGGCTATAAGTCCGCAGAATGTCGAACGCTTTGATCAGTTAAAAACGGTAGAGGTAAGTCTTTTTAACATTTTATAAAATTTCCTTAAAAAATAATTAAATGCAAAGCTTTTTAACTGTGATTAAGAGAGTCTCATACTAAATTTTCTTGTACTGCTGGCAACAAGTTGTTACGTGTTTTTTTAATCATTGGTATCGTTAGGATTGGTGGTAGTAGGTGGGAGTGGTGGTTGCTTTCAACAAATTTACTACTCTATATTATTTGCATACTTAAGCACTAAGACCCTTTCTTATTAACAGTTCTCCATACAGACTAAGGAAATTTCACACAAGAAGACAGCTGGATATCGAAAGAGACAATTTCCTAACAAACAAATAGGTTCAACTTACTCATACGGTGATAAAATTAACATCATCTCCTGTAGAGTGATGCGTACTTAAAATAAATATAAAAAATACAAAAATCACTAACCCAAACCAGAGCACAAAGAACTAGTCAACAATGAAGGAGCGCCATTGAAAGAAGAAATTAAGTTCTTTGTAAACAATCGTTCCTTGATTTGAGTATTCGCGCTGTGGGCTAGTGGTTATGTAGTGAATCTCAAAAATCTTCAATTTGTTCCTTTCGTTCTAGATGTCCAGCAAGTTCTCTACTAATACCACGTGCTGAAGTACTAACAATAGTTTAGAACTTAATGATCTATGTGGGCCGTAGACATCCATCCAAGTTATTAACTACTGACTTGGTGATAGCTACATATACATGTCTAGTATGTTATGATACCTTGCGCAATGGTGCAGCATATTCTAAAGCTGAGACTTCTTCTTGTGGTGCCTATCCGTTCCGGATGTTGGCTACTAGCATGGCAATTCTAACTTTATTGACCGCAGCTCTAAATAGTCCTGAAGTGGTCAAGAAAAACCATTTTTGTCAGTTCTGAAGCGAAGATATTCTTCTTCTTTCTAGTCCCCTCTTTCCGTAGACCTTTCCCTGTAATATAAGTTGCAACAGGTTATATCTATAATCGTTTTGCATTATATGTCCGAGATATTCTAGCTTGCGCTGTTTCACTGTGAATATAATTTCACATGTTTTATCCATCCGACGTAGAACCTCAATGTTTGTTATTCGGTCCACCCAGGAGATCCTCAGTATCCGTCTATAACACCACATCTCAAAAGCCTCGAGTTTTTTCATGAATGCCTCGGTTAGTATTCATGATTCAACCCCATAGAGCAGCACTTTAAACACGTAGCATCTCAATAAACGGATTTTCGTTTTTAAGGGGAGGTCGTGGCTCTTAAATATCTTGCTTATTCTGACAAACGCTGACCTGGCTTTTTCAATTCTTTGTTTTATCTCAAAGCTGAGACACAGATTGAAAATACTATGAGATGTGCGCCCCACTTTTGGTTTAAAAATTTTGCAAAGACTATTGTTCGTGTTCGTTAGTTTAAATTTTAGTTGTACCTAACTTATTTCAAATAATAAGGTGAGATTCAGAGTAACATCAGGGTACGTTAGGCAAAACACAGTGTTCAAGATACTTAAACTTGGGTACGAATCTATATACTTGTTGTACACTGCGTGTGATGACAATTTCGTATATTTGCATTTTTAGTCTCATATTATTTCCTTGTCGTGTTTGCGTTCTTCATCAATATTTCCAACTATAATAACTTCTTCTTCTTCCAGTGCCATCATCATTCCGAAGGTTAGCGATCATCAGGGCTATACGTATTTTTGAAACTGCTGACCGAAACAATTCGTTGTTGGTGCAGCTATACCATTCCCGTAGATTCTTTAGCCAGGAGTTTCGTCTTCTTCCTATGGACCTTTTTCCTGCTATTTTCCCTTGCATAATTATTCAAAGTAGTTCATATCTTTCGCCTCTTGTACAACTAAAGTATAATAACTAAAGTTCCCCAATTCTGTTGACTTTAAAGTTTTGAAGCACAAGAGGAAAATCTGTGGAGCATTCAAGAAAACTAACAGTAACAAACAAGGTATAGGAAAACATTAATTTCTAAGCACAGGTATAAGAAAGTAATATATTTTTATTATATTTGACATACTGTTCAAATCTTCAATTATTTTTAACAATCTTAAAGTACCGATGTAAAATTATTTATTATTAAAAAAGCGTTTTTCCAGAGCCTAGTAACATTATTGGAAAACGTCGAGGAAGACGAGGGCGTTCTTAGCAACGTTGTTGGCGCTCTTGGAGAATGCCTAAAGTTTGAACACAATCGACACAACCTGCTTAGAGCTAATGGTATACCTCATTTAGTAAATCTACTGAATTATACTTATCCCCCTCTTCTTGAAAACGTTCCGATGGTGTTAAGGGAATGCGCTGAAGATTATGATTCGATGCGGGTTATAGAAGAACTGGATGGAGTAAGGCTGATTTGGTCGTTGTTAAGAAATGACTCGCAAAAGGTAAGATTTAAATTCCTATATAACTATATTTCAAATATAGCTCTTAACGATTTCTGTTGGAGAACAACGCATTACTAAATTGGCATAAAGCGATAAGTATCATTTAATTTTTTATTTTGTTTATCCACTGATAATTGAAATGAATAAATTTTTTTCTTTCGTCAAATACACTATAAACACTCACTGTCACGCTTATAATCAATTAGAGCCCTGATTTGTGCATCATTGAATATACGCCTCCTCTAGTATTTCTATTTTTTTCTGATCTTCGCCCCTGCTTCCAATTGGTCGCAAGTCTAAGGTCCGTTGTATTGGATATCTTCGCAGGCCTTGCTTGTCTCTCCGTGTTCTTCATTCAACCAATCTTTTTGTCTACTTGCCAGTGACGTAAGTCAACCTTAAAAAAAAATTCGATTCTGCGGAAGCCCGGTTTCTATCGACTACTTTGTCTTACTATTTATTGGTCTATACGACAAACACTAGCAATAGTGTACAGTGTACAGTTCTCTTATTGGCGATACATAGGTATAGCATTTTTCATATAAAAATACTTGCAAGTCATTCAAGATCTACGACCTCAGAACCCCACAGCGTTGCCAAAACATCAGAATAGTTAGTAAGTAAGGAATTTTTAAGTCAACTATGTGTCAAACTATTATATTAACAGTAAATACACTTAGTTTTAAGACTACTGCAACACACTAAAATAAATAAGAAAACATACAATACATATCATTTATTTGTTTTGGTATAGTACAATCACAATACACAACAATAATTAGTTTTTAAAGCTATTGATCTAAATTTAATATGTATTTATAAATACAATTTATTAATATATAATATATTATGATTAAATTGTGTAAGAAATCAAAACATAAACAAAATTTTTACTCTAAAAAAGCGGCAACACTTCAAACAATTTAGCCAAACGCTGAACTGTCAATAAAATTTGAAGTATTCCTGTATCAGATGCGTACAATTGTTTAATCTATTTAATTAAAATTATTATTCTGTGGAATATTAGACTTAAAGAGTTATTTTATAAAATTTATATTTAATAATAACAAATGTTTTTGGTTATTTAATCAATATAATTCTAAAATTCCCAATATAATGATGATTACATTTTTCTGATTATTATACCATGTTGATGCATATGCAAGATCGAGCAGTTCCGTATGTGTTTAGTATTACTAGCTGTGTTAGGAAAATTTGAACTCTACGGTTGACGTTCTAGAAATTTTAAATATAAGTGACGTCACTTTATATAAATTGTGAAGCATTTTATATAAAAAATGCTATATTACTCGATTGTCTTTACTGCTTCTGACAATTCTTGAGTTAAATTACTCGTGTGACTTGGTAAAAATGGTCTATGCTTTAATGTACTACCTGTGTAATGTATGTAATGTACTTCTATGTTCTAATATAATGATAACTAGTAGTAGCTACCTCTATCACAAATAAGTGGTTTAAATGTTAAATTGGTATTATAGATCATGAATGTCGTGATTAAGTACTTATTTTCCGCTTTTCTTTTCAAACAATTTTTACTAAGAAACCGGGAATCTTGACAATATCCCTTAGAATGTTTTTCAAAATATAAAAGGATTTTTTTATTGAGAGTAATCTAATTTACATACCGATGCACGTCATTATCTAAGTCAGAGATCGAAGTTGACATAGTTGCCAAAGTATAAAAAATCCTATTTTAAATCATATAGATCACATAATTATTGCAAAAGTATTACCATTTCTTTACAATGACTATTTAAATTCTTACGTGACGTTTTTGAAATAAAACACACTAATTTTGTTCTAAAAAGAACAGATTTTATTAAGTAGGTAAAAATTATATTAAGTAGGTAAAGGTAGGTATTTATTAAGTAGGTAAAAAGTACCAATTTATGCCAAGATTTCACCTTCGTTCGATTACAGTTACAGTGTGTTCCGAACAAATGTTCTTCATAAAAACGCTTTATAATTCATTTATACAAATTAAATGAAACATATTATTGTGTATTTCTTTAAGTTAACATTAATAGAAATTTTTAAATATTATTTCTACGCATATATAATAAAATATGTCTAGTGGCTGTAATGACAGTGTACTCGGCAAAGTGATTCTAAAAAATAACACACCTACCACCTAAATATTTCGTGTGGTTATCATATGACGTCACGGGCTAGGACGCCGATGACGTGCATCGGTATGTAAATTAGATGAAGTGTATATGTAAAAGCCCAGGTCCAGACGGAATATACCCAGAAACGTTCAAATTAATCAGCGAAGAAAATATCGAATTATTTGTCCTTTTATTCAATCGCATTTATGATACAGGTAAAATACCCCAAGATTGGCTGGAGTCAATATTCATCCCACTACCAAAAAAGCCAAACCCACAACACTGCAATGAGTTCCGTCTGATAAGCCTTATGAGTCATGCAGTAAAAGTCCTACTAAAAATCGTACATAATCGTATCTATAGAAAGTGCGAAACAATCATCGGAGACGATCAGTTTGGATTCAGAGCCGGCATGGGAACGAGAGAAGCCCTGTTCAGTTTACTAGTTCTCGACCAAAAATGCTACGACCAACAGAAAGATATATTTATATGCTTTATAGACTTCGAAAAAGCATTTGATAGAGTAAGACACGACCTACTATTAGAACGTTTGCAAGAAGTCGGTTTAGATGGAAAAGACATCAAACTCTTAAAAAACTTGTACTGGAACCAAAAAGCCAGAGTTAGGATCGAAGGTTCCACATCCGCAGAAGTAGAAATTAGGAGGGGAGTTAGACAGGAATGTGTTCTGTCGCCTCTGCTGTTTAATCTTTACTCCGAGTTTCTATTTAAAGAAGCATTGGAAGATTCCAAGGATGGAGTCAAGGTGAATGGCGTAAATATCAACAGTATCAGATACGCCGATGATACAGTGTTAATTGCGGATTCCGACTCAGGTCTACAACGACTTATCGACAAGACCAACTCGACCTGTGAGCAATTTGGTATGAAAATAAACATTAAAAAAACCATAGTGATGTCAATCCGAAAAAAACCAAAACGTACCTCAACCTTGCACAATAAATGGGCACATCTTAGAACAGGTCAATAGATTTAAGTACCTGGGATGTTGGATCGATAGCAGCCTAAATCCTGATCAAGAAATAAGATCGAGAATAGAACAGGCTAGAAAATCTTTTGAAAAAATAAAAAAAACTGCTTTGTGATTCTCGAATAAAACTCGAAATTCGACTACGTTTATCAAAATGCTACGTCTGGTCGACTCTTCTATATGCAGTGGAAACGTGGACCCTTAAAACATCAACCTTAAATAAATTGGAGGCCTTTGAAATGTGGATCTACCGGAGAATATTCAAAATTTCATGGACATCGCATACCTCAAACGAAGAAGTGCTGCATAGAATAGGCAAGGAAAGAGAACTTTTTAACACAGTTAAAGTAAGAAAAACATCATACCTAGGCCACATACTGAGAAATAATAAGTACCAATATGCCCAACTTATAGTGAAAGGAAAAATCGAGGGAAAGAGAGGCCTAGGAAGGAAAAGACTATCATGGCTCAGAAACATCCGACAATGGACAGGGCTAAATTTTGAACAGCTGAAGATAGAGAAGAGTTTAAAATTCTAGTAGCCAACCTCCATTGAGGAGAAGGCACTTTAAGAAGAAGAAGAAGTATATGTAAGATCAAATACGTACCATGTCGGGATAGTATTATAAAGTTTTTTTCCTGGTTTTTTCTTTATGATTTACTATGAAATTATTAACAGGAGAATTTTACTGTCATCATGGCAATTTGTTGTCTTTTAAAGACGACTTACATGTTATGATTTTTTCTGATGGATTTAGTTAAAGTTGATTTCATGCAATCGAATGAACTATCTTGCAATAAAGATGTTCTAGGAGCGCAACTCAGCAATATTAGCATTATCATTTTAAACTCGTCTACTTTAAAATGTATAATATATGTCTCAATTGTCAATAAAAATGAGTCAGATAAAATGAAATTAAGATTTTTTCACGTAGTAATAAAAAACAAAATTTGTTTAATTTATTAATATTTACATTTTGAGAACGATGTCCGAAGTGGAAATTGAAACGTCAATAAACTTATTTTAAACTTTAATTGTGGCTTATTCCCATTTAAATAGTAATTATTGCTTTAAGATGCCGCAAGAAAATAGCTTCAGAACAATATTGAAAAAGGATTTGTTCTAATCATTTATTTCTATTTATTTACGTTTACATTTAAACTACGTTTATATAGAGTAGTACATATATCTTAATAAATTGGGTTAATATTTCTATACAGTTTTGAATCTTCCATTGTTTTTACCATATTAAGATTAGGGATGAAGTTAGTACAATCCTCTACTGCTCGTAAACCCTCCTTGACATGTATAATCATAGAAAAATTTTGATTTTTAAGTCTAGGCTGGTTCTTGTTTTAATTCCGTTAATATCCGAAAAGATTCGTTCACATTTAACTTTAGATACTGCCCGATATTGGAAGAGGCAGCATAATATGTTTGCCAAATCTATCTATCTTTATTTTATCGACACTTTTCTCAAAAAATGATCGGAATTTCTGAAATATTCTTAACACTTGGTACTCTAAGTAATTTAAAAAATTTACTGATAAATGTGTCTGTGAAAACTACCAGAGTCTACTTTTTTCCCTACTAAGATTTTTCCCTACTAATTTTTTTAATTTACATCGAAAATCTAGTTTCTAGAAAAAGTAGTTTTCTACTAAATACGGTCACACTGATACTCTTGTTGCTTACTATTTTTATTGCTCATTGAGTTAAACACAAACAGATAATTTTTGTGTTCTAAACTAGTAATGTATTCGTTCCGTGTGTAACCATGGTAGGGGTACCTTGAAACTATGCCAGATGTTTCGCAAAACTTCAAGCTAACTGCAGCTTGCCTGATGACTTGAGCATTTATTTTATAACTTTTACTATT